CTGGGGTTACAGCACTCCTTCTTTCAGGGGTGTGTGTTCTTGCTGTCTTGGGTATAGTAGGTTCTTAGCATGGGGACTCTGAGTCCAAATGATGCACTCCTTTGCAATTTCTTCTTTCTTGGTAGTAGTGAGGTCCCCTTTCTGCTCTGGAATTGGCTCTTTTAAAGCTTCATGTGCTTAAAAGACTAATAATCCCTTTGTTAGAGTTCTCTATACCTTATTTATATGGTCTCATTGCCATATAGACTCCATGCATTTTATATGGATTATTAGTAGGTTGTCCAATCTAGCTGATGGGCCACAAACTCCTTATTTCCATATTATTATTGTGTCATTGAACATGACTCATAGTGACTCTATGAACCACAGATCTGAAACCTAGTCTATTCTGTGCCATTTTCACAATCTCTGACACACTTGAGACCACTGCTGCAGTCACTGTGTCAATCCTCCTGGGTCAAGGGTCTTCCTCTCCTTTACCATCATTTTATCTTTCCAAGTATGATGTCCCTCTTCAAGGAATAGTCTCTCCTAGCAATGTGCTCAAAGAAAGTTATGTCAGACAAAACTTTGCCATCCATGCCTCTAAGGAGTACTCTGGCTGCACCTTCTCCAAACCATGTTTGTCCTTTTGGCATTCCATGGGATATTCAGCACTCTTCTCCAACACCACAGTTCAAAGGCATCAATTCTTCTGCCATCCTTATTTACTGTCCAGCTCTCTGAAGCACAGCAAGCGACTGAAAAAGATCATGGCCTGGATCAGGCGCACATTAGCCCTCAAACTGACCTCACTGCTCTTTGATAATTTGGAGGGGTCCTTGACTACAGATTTTCCTAGTATAATACATCTCCTGATCTCTCTTGGCTGCTGGTATTAAGTGTATTGACTGTGGATCTAAGTAAGATGAAGCACTGTCTCATCAAAACATTGTGAAGACACAAGGAGAACATGTTTGGATAAAAGGGCCATATTAGGTATTTTACTCCAGCACATGGAAAAAAAGGAGCATCAACCCAAGCACTTCATTTAATAACAAAGTATTTTTCAAAATGGGTCATGGACTTAAATGAAAATGTGTAAAACTTAACAATGAAAGAACTTTTTTCCAAAGAAAAAAGCAAACTGAGGAAAATGTGCAACAACGAATTAATGGAAATCCAAGTTCCTTATAATCTATCATTAAAATTTCAATTAAAAAAAGAAAACACATAAAACTATGGAATTTTTAGGAGAAAAATCTCAGAATCAAAGCAGTACTATATTTTGGGTTTTTTAAAAAATTAGTCTTCATTTTTCTTAATTTTCATTCAGTCTACTCATACACATTTTGCTCCATTTCAATAATAAATACCACTGTATAAAGCCATTATTTGCAATGTTCTATCAAAACCTCAATTGTTCATAGGGTTGTTGAAGGGCTGGTATTTCAGAAGTGGCTGGCTAATCCTTCTTCTTAGTCTGTCTCAATGGGGGAACTCCACTTTAATACAGCATATCTGACAAACAAGCAATGTAGACTACAGTCTTCAACATGAATTACATTTCAAAAGCAAAAAAATCTTCCCCACTGGGCCAACAGGCAACAGCATGATAGAGGAAAAAAAATAAAATTATAAACAACTTTATCTTACTTGAATCCACAATCAACACCTTTGTCACAAATAGACCACTGACAAGACCACGGCTTGAATCAGGCACACCTTAATCTTCACATTGAGGTCACTGCTCCTCAGTAATTTTCAGTGGTACCTGACAGCAGATGTGCCCAATGCAATACATCTCCTAACCTCCTGACTACTAGTACCTAAGGTGTTGGTTGTGGATCCAAGTAACATGAAATAATTGACAATTTCAATCTTTTCTTCACATACCATGACGTTGCTTAACAAGCCAGTAGTGAGGATTTTTGTCATCTCGATGATGAAATGCAATCCATATTGGAGGTTGTTGTCTTTTCTCTTCTGCAGCAAGTGCTTCAGGTCCTCCTCAATTCAGTAAGCAAGGCTGTGTCATCTGATGACACAAGTTGTTGAGAAACCTTCCTGACACCACGTCCAGCTTCTTGAATTATTTGCTCAGCATACAGACTGAATAAGTACGGAGAAAGAATACAACCCTGATACACACCTTTCCTGATTTAAAACCATACAATGTTACTTCATTACATCCAGACAACAGCTTCTTGGTCTAGGTCTAGGTTTCATATGAGTATAATTAACTGTTCTATGATTCTCATTCTTCTCAATACCAGCCATAATTTGTTATGATTTACATAGTCAAATGTCTTTGCATAGTCAATAAAGCAAATAGACATTCTTCTGGTATTATCTGCTTTCAACTACGACCCATCTGACATCAAGCAATTACATCCCATGCTACAGCCTCTTCTAAACTCAGGTTGAACTTCTGGAAGTTGTAGTTGTTTTAGGATAATCTTCTGCAATATTTTGCTTGCATGTGATATAAATTATATTGTTCCGTAATATTCACATTATGTTGGATTGCTCTTCTTGGGAATGAGAGCAAATGTAGATCTCTTCTAATCAGTCGGTCAAACTGCTGTCCTCCAAATTTCCTGGCATAGACTGGTGAGCACATCGAGGGCTGTTATTTGTTATTTCAAACATGTCAACTGGTATTCTATCTATTCCTGGGGCCTTAGTTTTTGCCAGTGCCTTCAGCGCAGCTTAAACGTCTTCCTTTGTTATCACTGGCTCTGGTTCATATGGTATTTCCTGAAATTTCTCAGTGTCAACCAATTGTTTTTGGTATAGTGACTCTATATATTCCTTCTATCTTCTTTTGATGCTTTCTGGATCACTCAAAATTTTTGTCCATACATCTCTCAGTAATACTATTATGTCTCGAGACTTGAATTTGTTTTTCAGCTCTTTTAATTTTAGAAATGCTAAGTAAGTTCTTCTTTTTTTATTCTCCAATCTTAGGTCTCTGTTCATTCTGTTATAATACTGCCTTTTCAAGCTGCCCTTTGAAATTTTCTGTTTCACGGTTCAAGGCCACCAGCTGTTCCGTGGGAGAATGATGTGCAATCTTCTCCCGTGTAATTAACTGTCTCTGAAAACCCCCTGGAGGGTCAGATATGGGTCATTCCAACGGTAAACAACAACAAAAACTACTTCCTCTTGTCTTTGTAATGACCTTCTGCTCTCTTCATGGTTGATATATGTATCCTTGATAATTATATATCTTTGATATCTAGATAGATCTTTGATACCATCCCTTATCTTGTCTTTGATCCTTCATGTTCAATACCTCAAACCTATTCCGGAGATGATTTTAAAATTTACGTGTGGCAGACTCAAGGTCTTATTTCCATTAGGAAAATGCAAATTAAAATCACAATGAAATATTACCACACTTCTAATCAGGATACCTAAAATAAAAATGAGTGGCTACATTAAATGCTGAAGGAAGCTACAATATTTTATACATTCTAACCACAGTAGAAAACAGTCAGGCAGCTTCTCAGCAAAGTAAGCAATCCTGGGTTCCTAAAACATTCAACTTACAATAATAGCAGAGTTGAACAGCCACATGTTATATCTGGAAAAATGAAGGGAAGAATTCATATAAGTTACAGAGGATATTTTGGGCTGAATTGGAACTTAGGCTTGAAATTCATTTCTCTAATTGTTCCTTTTTGAGAAGATATTTCAGTGATGTATTAGAGCAATATTAAATAGATCCAAATATATAGTAAAGAAATAAGGGGCAGAATTACAGAAACTTCTTAGCTATAACTAAACAACTTGAGGGAATGAGTTGTAGGGCCTAGGAGCTCAGGATTATAATGTTTCAGGCTAGGGTAGAGGGTGGAGACATCAAGATCAATTAGCACTAGCTAGTCTACAAAGACAATGTCGTGTACCCTACTTTAATAAATAGCAACTGGTATCTTTAAAAAGTTTGTGATAGACTACCTAAAGTACAGTTTTTGGTTCTTCCCCATTGAAGAGTAAAGAAGAGTGAAGAAGATAAAAATTAAAGGATTAATTAAAAATAAAGAATTTATGAACCACATGAATTTCTGTCACCACAATTATTAGGCCAGAAGAACTAGATGGTGCTCAGGTAGCACTGCTGACCACTGAAAGAGTTACCACAACAGAAAATAGCTGACAGACTTGGAGAAAAATATGAAACAAAACACAAAATCCTAAAAAAGGCAAGTCTTACTGGTGTGAGAGAGACTCTTAGAACTCCTGGAGGTATTGTCCTCAGTCACTTTTCAACCTGAACTAAAAATCACCCCTGTAATTCAATTTTCAGCCATGAAACAGAGAGGCTTATATGGCGATCAGTTCCAAAGAGGTTTGCAGTCTTTAGTGTCATCAACCATACAAGATCAAAAGGGCAGTGTTTGCCCAGGGATAAAGCTCAGAATTCAGAAAGGGATACGGAAAAAGGTCAAATGGAAACATGGCAAAGAGGGACACGATGTGGAAAGTACTATTACAAGGTGAGATTGTAATCAACATCAAAAACATAACGTATAACTATATAATTTAACATTACTGTTGAATGGAAAATTCAACTTTCTCTCAATTGAAAAAATGAATGGGCTCATGTTCTGGGCCTAATAAGATGAAAACAAAAATAAATACACATAACAGCAAAAGCTCAGGGAGACTATCCAAACGAGTCAATCAGTGCTCACACTGAGGGTAGAAATAGATTGCAGCCCATTTAACATCTACTTGCTTTTAACATTTAACACCGGCATCTTAGGAAGTATTAAAAGAAAGTGTCCCTTCTTACAGGGATCCTCTAGTGGTACCAAAGACCTTCAGACTCTCAGAACATGAGATGCTGACAACAAGCACCAAACAAGAGATGAGAGAAACAATCGTTGAAATTAACCATGTTCCTTAACACAAAGAAAAGCCTCCTTTAAGGGAAATGTGGCACTGGTTGTTGCCAATGCTCCCAGAAGCAACCTGGTAATGAAGCCTTGTTCCAAACCTTGTCTACTTACATGGAACAGTGGAAGGTGCCAACAGGGTTCTCACGACGGATATCTTCATACTCCTCATATATCCCTCGCTTTTGCCTGGTATTAACATAGTCCACCAACTCTTGGATAGTCATAGCATGGGGACCTGGAACATGTACTGAGTCCCAGTCTAAGGCAGGAGGGAGGGAGAACAGGATGATCTCATCGAAGGGATCTGGGTGGCCGTTCACCTGGGGTAGAAACTGGAAATTCCAACTGGCGAGGTCAATTTTCACGTACCCACCCAGGTTTTCAGGAAGGCACTCCCTGGGTAGGTGCTGGGTAACTTCAGATGTCTTCAAAATCTGAATCTGGAAGGGCAGAAAGAACCATGTTAAATGTGCAGGTGGAGGGGAGACACACACACACACACACACACACACACACACACACACACACACACACACACACACACACACAAGAGTCCCAAGACAGTGAGAGTAAATAGCTGTACTTATATTCGGCTTGAGGAATGAGATGAGATAAAAAAAAAAAAATAGTAAGTACACTTTTAAAAGAAGTTGTCTAAATTTTATCTGTCTGGGATTGAAGGCTATGGTGTTTAACATTTTTTGTCAATGTGGCTAGGTCATTATTCTCAGTGATTTTTGCAGATACTATGTAATAATCATCTTTCATTTGATGATCTGAGTGAGCTGTCAATAAGCTGAAAGGGGAGTTTTTTTGGGGTGTGTGGCCCAAATATAATACTTATGGACGTTTTGGCAAAACACACTCCCCAGATCTTCCATCTAACTCACCATCCTTTGATCACCAGTTCTTGGAACATGAGCCTGCTACCTGACCTGCAACCCCAGAAGTCTCCCACCTCACCTGCTGATTATGGGCTCATCAGCCCCTCTAACTATATGAATTAGGAGAAGCCTCCAGCCTGGTGCTGACCTAGGAATTTGGGAATTGCTATTTTCCACAATCAGTCAGACACTCTCTTGAAATAAATCTCTTTATATATATATTCCACTGGGTTTGCTTCTCTGAAGAACCCAGTCTAAGGTATCAAAGTCCTAGGGATTTCCCAAAGAGGTGATTTCCCAGAATGTGGATCAGATTCATTCCTGGAGTTTGTTACATACCTTCCACAAGGAATGCACAGTCAACAAAAGCTTTCAACTATGAACAAGACTTCCTAGTGTCATCTTATGCTGATACTCACCTTTGATCACTAGAAACACATAGGCAGTGGCTACTTTTGTCAACCCATACTAATGCAACCAATTCTAGGCCAGTTATCTTGTGTTTTACTCACAGTGCAGTATAGATGTTCTCAAAAGTTTCTATGAAAGTAAAATTCATCAAAGGTGGAAAAGCCCAAGAAAAATGCTAGATAAGTAATCATAACACCTAAATTCTATTTCTGCTTGGACTCAATCATGTCACACCAAATTAGGCTACTTGGTTCTCCTTGGAATCTGTTCTCTCCAGTGTGGAACGGAAACGTTGATCTCTTTCAAGGCTTTTCCTTTCTTCCTTTGCCACTTTTGTAGTTGACTCATAGCTCACATCAGGATAAAGCCCTTACTTAAAGTAGAAGGCAGCCCCTTCTGTGTTTGTACAAAACTGCAGCTTTCTTTCTCTCTCTCAGGACCATGAGCTACATAAGTGTAAGGTCTTCCTCAATTTTTAGTTCCTAGGGCTCATATCCTGGAATAGAAAAGATTATCAATGTATTTTGAATTTATACATGCATGTATTTCTCTTTCTCACACTTGACCCTCCATTGTATTTCTGAAGATGGAAACTGCATGAAGTCAACTGTGGATTCACTAGAGAGGTGCGACCTTGGGTTAGCAGCACAGTTCCCTCCAGACTATGCAATCAAAGCTTCCTGGGTGTATACTACCTACAGTTCAGGTATAAAAATCTACCTACAGAATTATCTCAAGGATTATTTGAGGGTTATGCCCTCCCACTGAGTCACTAGTTCCCTAAGTATCTTCTAAAGAACTAAACATTTCAGTTTCCCCTCTCCAACCCAGTCATCTCAACTTTAAAGATTTGTATTATCCATACAACTTTGTAATACCTATCACAAAAATACCTAGTAATAATATATCAAAAGAACAATTTCATTATCGTACACATCTGTCAATGTTTTAATGTAGGGGAGGTCTAGTGGTATAATTTCTAGGAAGCTGTGATGCCACTCACAACCTCTTTGTTGGTTTGCATCCACCAGTGGCTCTGAGAAAGATGGGTAATCTCTTCCTTTCCATTTACAGCCTCGAAAACCCAATGGAGGATTAGCTATGTGTCAGTTCTAAATAAACAGCAGTAAGATTCACGTAAGAGCTATAATCAGAGAGTGAAGCTATAATCCTTCAGACTTAGAATTCTTAGGAGATTGTGAGAGAACTAAGAATTTTGGACAATACTTTCTAAAGAGAGAAAGCAATCAGCTGGCTTAAGGAAAAATCCCAGGTAGTAAGGGAGGGGAGCAACTCTTCAACCCTGGTTGTCAAAGGAATTGAATATTATTTTTAGTTGAGCAAATTCAAAAAACAATTCAACAAATACAATTACATTAAAAGCTATTACATATTAAATAAAGCACTGTAAAGCACTAAGCTAAATTTTGGAAGTAATAATCATCCCAAAGTAAACAATGGAACACAAAGTGTTCCAGAAGGCAAGGGTCAAACATACCATGTCCGGTTTCTAACTTCAGGGCTGTTGTTAGGTACCATCAAGTCAACTAGAGCTCACAGTGATCCTGTGAAAAACATATCCGAACCTTGCCCTTATCCTGAGCTTGCAGTATAGCAAGAGATGGCTTGTACTGAGTTAATGAGGAGAAAAGAGAATGCGAGTGAATATACTAACAGAAACTGCTCTAGAGGGAAAGTCAGAAAGATTATTTTAATATAGAAAATTAATTAGAATTTTGATATGAGAATTGGTGATGTAACAACTATCCACTTCCAAATACAACAAAGCTAGCTTGTCTTACCCTCTCCCGGACTTTATCTTTCAGCAGGAGGCTGATGATGGAATAGGGCACTCGGAACCATATGGGTGCTCCCACGATTAGCACCTTCTTCAAGCGAGCCGGGAATGCTCCCTGTGGAGAATACACATGAGGATTTAATGTCACCAATTACTTCAGCTCTAACAGGGCCCTAATGGGAGCTGGGACTTTTCAAGCCAAAATGTTCATTTTCTGCTCTTCTCCCTATTCTTACCCATCAGGAGAGTTTACAACCTAATTCAAGTTTTACTTCAGTAGCTAGGGAAAAGATAATTAAAAAAGAAATTTAAAAATTAAAAGCTGAGTTACTTTTAAAAGTAATGATATTACCAATACAGCTTTATGGCTCAAAACTGTTTTACTTTTCTTAGCAGCTACCCAATGAAAGGATACACAAATATATCCTAGAAAAGTTCTGACTGTTATAATTTTTTTTTTAGATTTACCAAGGAAACTGTTATAATTTTTATAGGAAAAAAATTCGACCTTCCTAATATAGCAAGAAAGAGCCTGGTAAAGCAGTACTTAAAGGACTCAGTTGCTCACCAAAAGCCTGATGGTTTGAGCCTATCAGCTGGTCTCTAGGAGAAAGATGTGGCGGTCTTCCTCTGTGAAGATCAGAGCCTTGGAAATCCAATAGCGAAGTTCTACACTGTCCTAAAATGTCGCTAGGGGTTGGAATGGATTCCAGAGCAATAGATTTGACACAGTGTACAAAAGACTAAATATGAAACATTTGTTTTTCATAATTCTATTTTATTCTGACATCCATATAATTACACCCATCTCTATCTACTCATCTATTCAATTAATAAATATGAAGGAGGGATAACAACAAATTAAGCCTGAGAGAAATGAAAACTCTTGATCTGTGCACAGGATTAGATAAAAGTCATGTATTATTGGTCCACAATGTTTGCTTTCTTTCTGTTTTCCAATCTTCCAGCCTTTCAAATGGGAACAGATGCCTTACAATCATGCCATTCTAACTGGGAAATATCAATCCCAAGAACTCGAAAAAAAGAATTAGAAATTGTAGTCAACTCCTCTATCTATTATCTATCTCTGGCTACTTTCAGTTCTACTAATTTTAAAGTTTTGCAAGTACAGGCTACTTTGCTTTTCTGTGCTCTTCAGATGGGGGGAGGAGTGTGTGATATGTTTTTGTTTTTCTAATTGGGAAAGGTGTATGCCAGGGATGTGTCCTATCTCCATACCCTTTCAACCTGTATGCAGAACAGATTATCTGAAAGGCTGGGCTCTATGAGGAGAAGTGTGGCGTCAGGAATGGTGGAAGATCTATTAACAATCTGCATTATGCTGATGACACAACCCTGCTTGCTGAAACTGAGAAGGACCTGAAATGCTTGCTGCAGAGGGTCAAGGACTGCAGCCTTCAGTATGGACTGAGGCTCAATGTCAAGAAGACAAAGATTCTCACCACTGGACCGATTGGCAGCATCAGGATGGATGGTATTGAGATTGTTAACAACTTTAGTCTGCTTGGCTCCACGGTCAACATTCTTGGCACCAGTAACCAGGAAATCAAAAAACGTATTGAGATGGTTAAGTCTGCTGTTAGGGACCTCTCCAGGGTACTGAAGAGCAATGGTGTCACTTTGGAGACTAAGGTGCATCTGATACAGGCTTTGGTCTTTGCAATCACTTGTTATGCATCAGAGAGTTGGACAATGACTAGGAAGGATAGAAGGAGAATTGATGCCTTTGAGCTGTGGTGCTGGAGAAGAGTACTGAATGTACCCTGGACTGCCAAGAAAACAAACAGATTCATCCTGGAGAAGGTTAAACCAGGCTGCTCCTTGGAGGCAAGGATTCTGGGGCTTTGTCTGAAATACTTTGGACATGTTGTATGGAATGACAGGTCCTTGGAGAGGGACCTTGCTTGGGAGGGTGAAGGGATGGCACAAGAGGGGAAGACCCTCTAGGAGGTGGATTGATTCAGTGACTGGGGTAATAAGGATGGGTGTGTCAGAGGCAGTGCGATTGGCACTGGAGAGAGCAGGGTTTAGGGCTGTTGTACATTGGATTGCTATGAGTCGCAAGCAACTCGACGGCACAAAAAAACAACAAATAACAACTGAAGGTTTATGCCAACCCTATGTTTTCCAACACCATGTACTCATTTCATGTTTTTATGTCACATTTAGGTAATTCTCCTAATATGTCATTTTTTTTCATAAGGCTATTGCACACTGAATAGACTACAGTAGAAGGTAAAGGAAGAGTGCTAGGAAACCAAAATAACTGCATGAGTTACTTCACTGCAGTGGTCTGGAACCAAACCTATAAAGTCTCCAAGTTGTGGCTGTGTTCTCTATGAGAAGCATAGAGAACACAGCACCCAGAACAAACTTCCCTAAACATCTCTGAAGTGTGAGAAAGTAACTTTTACCTCTTCTAATAAAGAGGTAACAATTTATTTCAATGACTAAATATAATATTCCTTTAACTCTTGGATTAACAGTCATGGATTAAATTGTGTCCCCCACCAAAGACACACTCAAAACAAAATATAAATTCAAAAGCAACAACACACACATGCATGTAATGATATAATCTGAAAACAATGAGATGAGAATCCATTGTTTTATTAACCAAATAGTTGTGAAAGGATTAAGAGTGGAATGTAACACCATTTAAACCTAACACAGTTCTAATTCTATGTGAGAGGTATTTCTCTAGGTTATTGCTTATAATACCTTCTGTCTTCCAAGAGTTAAAAAAGGAGGAAAGAAAGCTGAGAGGGTGTCCTTAGTATTACCAGCACATAATCACCAGAAGTGGAATATGAGCCCCTGTGTTAGCAAGCTCCTTGAGCCAGGGAAAGCCAAAGCACATGGAGAACTCCAAGGAATAGTAAGGATTGCTAGAAAGCGGTTGGTGTTATATAGCCTCACAAACATGTATATTCTTGGACCAGGCAATTTCATTTATGAGACTGTCTTACAGAAATAAACAGAGACAATAAAAGAATTAGAAATAAAAAATTACATCTTTATTTTTGATAGTTAAAAAGAATTCTTAAATTGGAAAATAAACATTTGTACAAAACTGAGAAGTGATCAAGGAAAATGGTGTATCTTAAAATAGGCTGTTCTAAAAAAAAAAAATAAAATAGGCTGTTCTATAACCTTTAAAATGAAGACTTCAAAGTCTGTGTGACTTGGGTCAGTTGCCTAATATAAATAACATCAGGGTTCCTTTGAATTTTTAGAAAGCTAAAAAAATTAAAAAAATATCTAATGCATTGCCATTGAGTTGAAATAAACTGAAAGATATTTACTTAGGCTTTACTGACTATGCAAAGGCAATCAACTTTGGGGATTGTAATAAATTATGGACAACACTGTGAAAAATGCTAATTCCAGAACATTTAATTCTGTTCATGCTTCGTCTGTGCATAGAAGAAAACATTTTAAATGAACAAGGGGATAAGGCATGGTTTAAAATCAAGAAAGGTGTGTATCAGCTTTGTTAGAGTTGTTGTTGTGTATCATTGAGTTGAAAACAACCCATAGCTGACCCTCCAGTGGATTTCTAGAGGCAATAAATCACACGAGAGGAGATTGCCCATATGTCTCCTGTAGAGAAACTGGTGGATTTAAACTTCTTGCTTTCAGGATTGCAGTTCGGTTTCTTACCAGTAGGCCACCAAAGCTCCCTTTTTAGGGTAGTATCTTTTTACCATGCCTATTCAATCTATATGCTGAGCAAATAATCTAAGAAGGGGAGCTGTATAAAGAAGAATGTGGTATTAAGATTAGAGGAAGATTTATCAATAAGCTGCAATATGAAGATGACAAAATCTTCTAAGCATAAAAGGAGTAAGATTTGAAATATTTATTGATGAAACTCAAAGGCTATATGCAGTCTTCAGCAGAGATTACATCTCAACAAAAGAACACAAAAATCTTCACCTCTGGACCAGTAGCCAACGCCATAATAGAGAAAAGACTGAAGTCATTAATAGTTTAATTTTATACTTTACAAAATAATTCACAATAAACACTCACGGAAATAGTAGTAAAAAAATCCAAAGACATAGTGTATTGGGAAAATCATATGTTAAAGATCTCTTTAAAGTGCGAAAGGGCAAGGAAGTCAGCTTAAAGACTAAGGTACATTTGACTGAAGCCACAGTATTTTCTTTATCGAACAGTATCATTAATATCACCTGCAAATAAGATTCTGCTGAAAATGATCTAAAAACGACTGAAAAAGCACATCAACATAGAACCGCCAGGATATTATCACTAATGTTAGATGGATATTGGTTAAAAGCAAAGAGTACCAGAGGAATGTCTACTTCTGTTTCATTGACTGTACAAAGGCATTTAACTATATAGATCACAACAAACTGTGGCTAACTTTGAGAAGAATGGGAATCCCAGAACACTTGATTGTGCTTATGCGAAACCGATACTTGGACCAGGAGGTAGTCATCAGAACAAAGCAAGGCAACACTGTATGGTTCAAAATTGGGATGGGTATACTCCAGGGATGCGTCCTATCACCATACCTTTTCAATCTATATTCAGAACAGATAATCTGGGAGGCTGGGCTCTATGAGGAGGAATGTGGCATCAAAATTGGAGGAAGACTCATCAACAACGTGCATTATGCAGATGACACAATTTTGCGTGCTGAAACAGGGGGACCTGAAGCACTTGCTGCAGAGGGTCAAGAACTCAGCCTTCAACATGGATTGAAACTCAACACCAAGAGGAAAAAGATTCTCACCACTGGGACGAATGGCAACATCATGATAGATGGGGAAGTGACTGAGACTGTTAACAGCTTCAGTATGCTTGGGTCCACAATCAACACTCCTGGTACCAACAGCCAGGAAATAAAAGGATGAATTGCACTGGGGAAGTGTACTGTCAAGGACCTCTCCAGAGCAAAATGTCAGTCTGGAGACTTGAGATGCACCTGATACAGGCCATAGTCTTTGCAAATATGTGGTATGCATCAGAAAGCTGGACAGTAACTAGGGATGACAGAAGGGGAAGTGATGCTTCTGAGCTGTGGTGCTGGAGAAGAGTACTGAATATACCATGGACTAGTAGGAG